TTCAGCTTTGAATATACTTAATGACGTAGCCTCTAATTTAAAGAATTCCACAGATTCACTACCGTCTGAGAGAAGAAATTCCTCCTCATCTGTCTTAAATGTGCGACTCCTTACTCTGACATTATGCCCCCTGCTCCTGGACTCTTCCATGAGGGGAAAAAAACCTTTCGGTATCAACCCTGTCATCTATGTTTCACTAAGGTCATTCCTCTCATTCTTCTAAATTTGGAAACATGCAGACCAAACCTACTCAATCTCTTCCAATAAGACAGCCCTCTTAGTGAGCCTTCTCTGGACTCCCTCCAGCGCTGTTATATCGTTCCTTAGATATGGGAACCAAAACTGTTCATAGCATTCCAGCTGTGGTCTGACTAGCATCTTGTATAGTTTTAGCAAAACCTCTGTGGTTTTATATTCAATTCCCTTTGAAGTAAGGCCAGGATTCCATTTGCCTTCCTTATTGCCCCCTGAAAATGTTGTGTCAGTCTTTCAGAGATGCCAGTGGTAGAATGATGCCAATGTTACAGTGGTGAGTACTACAGTGATACCAGTGTGTTGCAGTTATGCCAGTATATAACAGTGGTGTTTGAGTAAAAATGGATGCCTGTGGTACAGCGATGCCAAGTTTTCAACAAGATCTGGGTGTCCTCATGCATCATTCACGACAGTAAGTGTGCAGTGATGGCGATGTATTGCAGTGACACCACTGTTTCAGTGATGCCAGTGTGTTGCAGTGATGTGTGTTACAGCAACTAGGTATGGGTAGCAGGCTGTAAAGAAGGAAAACTGTGCGTTCACCTTCATAGTGAGAAGATTTGAGTACAGGAACAAAGATATCTTGCTGCAATTATAAAGGGCATTAGTAAAGCCACACCTGGAGTATTGTGTGCAATTTTGGTCTCCTTATCTGAGGAACGATGTGTACGTGCCAGTGTTGGACTGGGGTGGACAGGGACATAAATCACACGACACCAGGTTATAGTCCAACAGGTTTATTTGAAAACACAAGCTTTTGGAGCATAGCCCCTTCATCAAGTCCAGTGAGAAAGAAACACACATGGTGGCTCAGTGGTTAGCACTGCTACCTCACAGCGCCAGAGACCCAGGTTTGATTCCACCCACGGGTGACTGTCTGTGTGGAGTTTGCACATTCTCCCCGTGTCTGCATGGTTTTCCTCCGGGTGCTCTGGTTTCCTCCCACATGTCCAAAGATGTGCATGTTAGATGGATTGGCCATGTTAAATTGTCCCATAATGTTCAGGGATGTGTAGATTGGGTGGGATGCTCTGAGGGTTGGTGTGGACTTGTTGGGCCGAAGGGCCTGTTTCCACACTGTAGGGATTCTATTAAAAAATATAAAAACACAGAACTTATTTGTAAAAGATCACACAACTGATGAGGATGTATTAAACAAACCTAAGAGGCTCTCTGTGTAAATCTTTAATCAGTTAGAAGGTTTTAATTGATTTATATATATATGTAAATGACCAAATTTCTTTCAAGTCACTGTCTTGAGAGAATCAAATGTTTTATCACTGTAAAGAAGGGTGACAATTTAGGTGAGAAAATGCATGTTAGGTGTAAGGCCTTGTTTAGAATCTGTTTGTGTTTTGGTTTGGAGTCAGACTGGTTTTATTTCTAAAGTAGGAATTTATAAAACTCCACATTGACTGACTGTCCATAAATTGTGTGCTTTTTGAACAGAATAGAATATATCTGCAAATACAAATTCACCCCATAGACTCATGCATGCGTGTGTGCGTGTGTGCATGTGTGTGTGGGTGTGTGAGTCAGGGTGGAGAGAGAGTGTGTGTGTATGTGTGAGGGGGGAGAGAGTGTGTGAGTGTTTGTGTGTGAGAGAGAAAGGGGGGAGTGTGTGTGTGTGTGTGTGTGTGAGGTGGGGAGAGAGAGTTTGTATGTGAGAGAGGGGGGAGAGAGAGTTTGTGTTTGAGGGGGGGAGAGTATGTTTGTGTGTATGTGTGTGTGTGAGAGGGGGGAGAGTGTATGTATGTGTTTGTGTGTGTATGTGTGACAGAGAGGGGAGAGAGTGTGTGTGTGAATGCGTGAGAGGGGGGGGAGAGTGTGTGTGTATATGTGAGAGAGGGGGAGAAAGAGAGAGACTGTGTGTGTGTGAGAGAGAGAGAGGGGGAGAGAGAGAGCATGTGTATGTGTGTGAGTGAGAAAGAGGGAGAGAGAGAGCGTGTGTTTGTGAGAGAGAGAGAGGGGAGAGTGTGTGTGTGTGTGTGTGAGAGAGGGGGAGAGAGAGCGTGTGTGTGTATGTGTGAGAGAGAGGGGAGAGAGTGTGTATGTGTATGCATGAGATACGGGGGAGAGTGTGTGAGTGTGTATGTGTGAGAGAGAGTGTGTGTGTGCGTGTGCGTGTGTGTGTGTGTCTGTGAGAAAGAGGGAAAGTGAGTGTGCGTGTGTGTGAGAGAGAGGGGGAAGAGAGTGTATGTGTGAGAGAGTGGGGAGAGAGTGTGTGTGTGTAAGTATGAGAGAGGGGGGAGAGAGAGTGTGTGTTTGTGTATGTGTGAGACAGGGGGGTAAGAGAGTGTGTGTGTGTTTGTGTGTGGGAGAGAGAAAGAGAGTGTGTGTGTATTTGTGCTTAAGAGACTGTTTATGAGAGAGGATCTGTGTGTGTGTGTACGTGTGTGACAGAGAAAGAGTGTATGTGTGAGCGAGAGACTGTGTTTGTCTAAGGGAAAAAGTATGTTTTTGTGTGCATGAGAAGATTGAGTGAGAGTGTGTGTGTGTGTGTGTGTGTGTGTGTGTGTATGTATGTGTGTATGTGTGTGTAGTGTGATGGGGTCACACGTAGTGCAACACAAACCCAAGATCCCGGTTGAGGCCATCCTCATGGGTACTGAACTTGGCTATCAGCCTCTGCTCGGCAGCTCTGCGTTGTTGTGAATCTCGAAGTCCACCTTGGAGAACGTTTGCCCGAAGATCCAAGGCCGAATGTCCTTGACTCTCACACAGATCCTCTCTCATACTCACACTGTCTCACAAGCACACGCGCACACGCTCACACACATGAACGCTCTCTCTCCCACACACACACAAACTGTCTCCCAAACACAGCACAAACACACCAGCCGTATACTCGTTCTCTCTCTCTCCCACCCCACAACTACAACACATACTCACACACACACATACACACACACAAACTCTCTCACTCCCCCGCGTACACATGCGCACACACACGCAAACACACACACGTGAATCTATGGGCTGAATTTCTATTTGCAGATACATTCTACTTTGTTCAAAAAGGACACAATTTATTGACAATCAATGTGGAGTTTTATAAATTCCTACTTTAGAAATAAAACCAGTCTGACTCCAAACCAAAACACAAACAGATTCTAAACAAGGCCTCACATCTAACATGCATTGCCTGAGCTAAAATGTCACCTCTTCTTTACAATGATAAAACTCTCAGGACAGTCACTTGAAAGAAATTCGGGGATTTACATATACATAGTAATCAATTAAAACTTTCTAACTGATTAGAGATTTAACAGCATCTTAGGTTTGTTTAATACATATTTTACGAATAAGTTCTGTGTTATGTGTGCTTCTTTCTCACTGTTGAAGTGGCTATGCTCCAAAAATTTGTGCTTTCAAATAAATCTGTTGGACTATAACCTGGTGTCATGTGATTACTGAATTTTTCTGAGGAAGGATGTTCTTGCTGTAGAGAAAGTGCAGCAACAGGCCTATGAGGAGAGATTGAATCAGTTAGATTGTATTCATTGGAGTTTAGAAGTATAAGGGGAGGTTCTTATAGAAACCTATAAAATTCTAATACTTTAGATGCTGGAAGACCGTTCCTGATGGTGGGGAGTCCAGACCAGGGGTCACAGTTTAAGGATAAGGAGTGGAGCTGAGATAAGGAGAAATTTCTTCACCCAGAGAGTGGTGAGCCTATGGAATTCACTGCCACAGAAAGTGGTTGAGGCCAGAACATTGAAAATAAGAAGGAGGTAATTATGGCTCTTGGTGCTAAAGGGGCCAAGGGATACGGCGGGAGGGTGGGATTAGAAATATAATCCTGATCACATTGAATGGCAGAGCAGGCTCAAGGGGTGTCAAATGGCCTAGTCGGGCTTCCATTGTTCTATGTTTCAGTGATGCCAGTGCAAAAAGTAATGATGAGAATGTTACCATGATGCCAGTGTGTTACTGTGATGATGGTGTTACAGTGATGCCGTGTGTTACAGTGATGCCAGCATGTTATAGTGCTATCACTGTTACAGTGAAGCCAGTGTTCTGCAGTGATGCCAGTGTGTTGCAGTGATGTGTGTTATAGCAGCCAGAGATAGGCAATAAATGGTGGCTGAGCCAGCGTTGTTCATATCTCATGAGTGAATTTAAAAAATAGTGCTATTCTTTTACATTGATGCCAGTGTTTCAATGATTTCAGTGTATTACTGTGATTCCAGTATGTCACAGTGATGTCAATGAAATCCTGTGATGCCAGTGTATTACAGCAATTCCAGTGTGTCACAGTGATTACAGTGTATTACAGTGATGCCAGTGTGGAAGTAAACCACTCAGCTACAGAGCGTCCGTGAATAAAGTGTCTAGTGTTAGTTGAGAGAGTGGTCACCTGCTCAGTACTTTAAAATCAACCCAAAAAACCCAAGAAAATCTAAAACCATTTCATTTCAGCAAATTTATTTAACATTATTTCAATATTTACAAGAGCATAAAGATTGATACAGAGTTATACAGTTGCTCTGGCCTGCAGAGAAACAGATCTTACTTTCAATTAAAATAAAATAAAGAACTGTGGATGCTGGAGGTGTGAAACAAACAGAAACAGAAATTGCTGGAGAAACTCAGCAGGTCTGGCAGCATCTGTGGAGAGAGAAACACCTTCTGATCAAGAGTCACTGGACTTGAAACACTAACTCTGCTTTCTCTCCACACAGATGCTGCCAGACTTGCTGAGTTTCTCCAGCAATTTTTGTTTTTGTTTATTTCTTATTTTCTTTATTTCCTATCCAGGCACATGGCTGACATATAATGAGGGAACTGACCAGTGGCTCACTGTGAATATTCACTGCTCTCTGGTTAGAGATGCCTGACCAGGACAAGGACTTGGAACAAGGTGTTTTTGAGACTCATTGGGAACTGAGATTATTCACTCCACATAGCACTCTTGTGTCCATACAGCTTTTTACAGAAACCTCAGTGACACAAACATGTTGGAGGGCTTTAATGTGGCTCATAACTTCCCAGTCTTCCCCGCAAGAATGATATGAATTGGTGTCAGAATTCACAGCATGGACAGTCCTCCCTCTGGCCATAGCCACCTCTATTCCAGTAATCAATGAGTTTGGTGCTTTACACTGCTGGTATGTGTAATACGGTTTCATGGGGAAACAGCCACACTTCCTAAACATGAGAATTCCACTGAATTTTAACCTGGAATTCCAACTCAGTGTGCCACTGTCACAGAATCTTAGTGGTTTAAAGCACTGAAAGAGGGGTTTGGCCCAACGCACCAGTCATAAAACAACCAGATAACTTTTCTAATCACATTTTCCAGCACTTGGCCCATAACAAGTGCACATCTAAATATTTATTAAATAATGTGAGGGTTTCTGCCTCTACCACCTTTACAGGCAACGAGTTCCAGATTCCCACCACCTTCTGGATGAAAAAAGCTTTTCCTCAAGTACCCTCTAAACCTCCAGTCCCTAACCTTGAATATATGCCACTTGGTCAATGATGCCTCCACCAAGGGGAAATTTCCTTCCTATCAATGCCCCTCATAATGTTATGCATCTTAATCACGTCCTCATTTCAGTCTCCTCTGCCCTAAGGAAAACAACCCATGTCCATCCAATCTCTCTTCATTGCGACAGTTTGGAATGGGGCATCTCCTGACCAGACACAGGTAACTAACAGTTAGTTCCTTTAGAGTCACCATCACATAAACAGCCGCCCTCTGAGGAATTCCGTTTGAGATTCATCCTTTTCCCACTTGATTCTTTGTCACCGCTTGGCCACTTGTTTCTGCAACATTCTGGTGATTGATCAGCTCAGGCGGCTTGGTCAGTAGCAGTGGACAGAGGAGCCTCTGGAAGAATATCCGCTGCTCAGAGCTCCCAGAGTCTATGAAATCAACGTGGACTTTTCTCACCATTGTCGCTTTGACAGACTAATTGGATTTTCTCTCATTCTAGACAGTACCAAAAGAAAAACGAAGACGTCTCTTAGTAGTTGTTAAAAGTTCCCATTTCAGATTTACAATCTAAGAAACTGCACAGAGGTTACGAGCTCAGTCCCAGAAACATATCTTTATCAGAAGACAATTCTGTCCCACTTGTATTTTAGATTGGATATTACAATTATCTCTCCTGCTTTTTTTTGAAGGTAGGGGTCTTACTCCCCTCACGTGACTAATGACCAAACAGGGACAAGACCGTTCAGACTTGATCTTAAACTGAGGAGCTATCCGCCTTTTCAGAGGAACATGTAAAATTCCTTGGCATCATTTGAGGAAGAACAGTGAAGTTACCTCCGGTTCCCTGGCCAATATCAACATCATAAAAACATCCATCTAGTCATTGTCACATTGCTGTTTGTGGGACCATGCATTGTGCAAACTGCCTGCTGTTTTTTCTACATTACAAGCGACTACACTTCAATCTGTTAGTTGTAAAGTGCCTTGAGATATGTGGTGATTGTAAAAGACACTATAAAAATGCAAACTTTCCTGGCTAGCCCTGACCACTCCAGTGGTGACGTGGTGTTCCTATTACCAGCTGCCTGCCCACAACCGGTGGTAGAGGAAAAGCAGAGGGTCTGGCTCAGAGCACCCACAGTAGCCTGGGCACCAGGACATTGTTGTGTGTTTTGTGAAGCTGGGATTCCAGGCAAAGGTAATGATCAGTTATAGATCATAGAATCTCAACAGTATGGAAACAGGTCATTTGGCCCATTGAGTCCACACCCACCCTCGGAAGAGCATCTCAACCAGCCCCCTACCCTATCCCTGTAACCCTGCATTTCCCATGGCTAACCCACCTAACATATACATCTCTGGACACTATTGGCAATTTAGCATGGCTAATCCACATAATGTGCACATCTTTGGACTATGGAAGGAAACCGGAGCTTTTAAAAGAAAGCCACGAAGACATAGGGCAAATGTGCGAACATTCGTCTGAGAGTGGAATTGAATGTTCCTGGTGCTGTGAGGCAGCAGTGCTAACCACTGAGCCACAGCAGTGCCACCCCAGCTGGGGCTGGGAGTGAAATAGGAACAAAAGAGTCAAATCTCTTTTTAAACTGGACCGTACAGATTGACCACAGATGACTTGGTAGCTGAGTACCATGGTAACAGGACAGGAATGAAGGAGCTCCTTCATTAATGAGGAAGGCAGGATAGGATTGTTGAGGCACACTCACCATTCCTGACTAACACAAGCACTGCTCCAGTTGTGATGTGGTTTTCTTCCAGGGTCTCGTTTTCTCCCAGTTGATTGCCTCTGTACGTGAAATCCATCTTCCAGGATGTGACTCCCTGCCTTACCAGGCGTAGCCGGAGACGTTTGATGGTGTCATTTGGCCTGACTCGGAGGGTGACCATCCGGTGACCATCAGGAAGCTGGACACAGACATCACAGCGCATCCAGTGAGCCATCAGCCTCTGCATTGTATTCATTGTGGGTCAGTGTGGTACCAGTGTCCCTGCAAGTCCTGACCAGACACACTGACTGACTGAGAGCTAGCTAACTGTGTCAAGAAGGCGTGCAATTCCCCGCCCTTTCAGTCTACACCCAACAACCGGTTCTCCAACATTCCTTTACTCACTTACCAGCATAGGCCTGAACTCAGCAAAACATTTACTGGCAGCACAGAAACCTGCTGGGTCAGTGCGACTGCCCCAGCACTGCACAATGCTGGGGAGTAAATAACACCACATTTGGAATTTCCCAACAATATATACAGCCAGTGCTGCCACTCCCATGTTTTTTACAACTAGATCTATTTTTTTGGTCCTATTTTCTAGGTTTTCCCATTTAAAATCTAGGTTATCAATGAGAATCAATGAGAATCCTATGCTGCCAACAACAAGGTGATTGGTTTTCATTGAGCTGAACAACCAATGCTGCACATAGCAAAGGTCTTAATTTTATCACTCTGCACCCCCACTTTAATGAATTTAGGGCACAACATGACGTTGAACTCTTCTGTTGCCTTCGCCTCCACGCCCATTTCTTTGGGCAAGAGTCTGCTCCCCATCCCACAGACCCATTCACCTACCTCCCACACTCACCTTCTGCATGGACCCCTCCCTCTGGCCTTTTACCCGCACTTGGCCTGTTCATCTAGAACTAACGACGTGACGTTGTGCACCTCAAATTCTCTGCACCCCACTTCACCCATTTGAACCTACCTCCCTCTGAGCTGACTGCAGTTTGTGCTCTCAGATCCAACCCTGACTTTGTAATTAACCCCGTCAGTAAGGTTGGTTCTGTTGTTGTCTGGCAGACTGATCTCTACATTGCAGAGGTTGAGTGCCAGCCCTCAGATACCTCCTCCTATCTCCACCTGGACCATGACCCCACCATGGAACACCAGGGCATTGCATCTATAATGATCACTAATCTCATTTCATCTGATAATCTCCCCCTCACTACCTCCAAACCCGCACAGCCTGCTTTTGTCTCCTTGCCAAAATCCACAGCAGGACTGCATGGGCAGACCTATTGTTTCAGCCTGCTCCTGCCCCACAGAACTCATTTCTTCTGACCTCAACTCAAGTTTTTCTACTCTTGTCCAGTCCCTTCCCACTTACATCCATGAATTGTAAACTGTGAGGAGGACTCCACTGTAGAACTCCAAAAGGATGTTAAGTTGGTGGAGTGGATGGATAGGTGGAAGATGAGAATCAATGCAAAGATGTGTGAGGTGATTCATTATTGTAAGATAGGGGTTACAATTCTGAAGAGGGTGCACGACAAGAAGGACCTGTGTGTATATAGTCCTCATGTTCCCCCCTTCACCCCAGACTCGCTCACTACCACCAGCAATGCCCTGGTCCCAAAACTGCATTATGTGCAGAAAATAGCCTCACAATTGAAAAGTGACATGAAGGTTGGTGGATTTGTGGACAGTGTGGAGGGCTGTTGTGGGTGACAACGGCACATTGACAGGATGCAGAGCTGGGCAAAGAAGTGGCAGATGGAATTCAACCCAGAAAAGTGTGAAGTGATTAATTTTAGAAGGTCAAATTTGAATGCAGAATACAGGGTTAATGGCAGGATTTTCAGCAGTGTGGAGGAACAGAGAGATCTTGGGGTCCACATCCATAGATCCCTCAAAGTTGGTACCCAAGTTGGTAGGGTGTAAAGAAGGTGTATGGTGTGTTGGCTTTCATTGGCAGGGGAATTGAGTTTAAGAGCCGTGAGGTTATGCTGCAGCTGTATAAAGCCCTGGTTAGACCACACTTGGAATATTGTGTTCAGTTCGGGTCACCTCATTATAGGAAAGATGTGGAAGCTTTAGAGAGGGTGCAGAGGAGATTTACCAGGATGCTGCCTGGACTGGAGGGCAGGTCTTATGAGGAAAGGTTGAGGGAGCTAGGGTTTTTTTCATTGTAGCGAAGAAGGATGAGAGGTGACTTGATGGAGGTTTACAAGATGATGAGAGGCATAGATAGAGTGGATAGTCAGAGAGATTTCCCCAGGGCGGAAATGACTATTACGAGGGGGCATAACTTGAAGGTGATTGGAGGAAGGTATAGGGGAGATGTCAGAGGTAGGTTCTTCACACAGAGATTGGTGGGTGTGTGGAATGCGCTGCCGGCAGTGGTAGTGGAGTCAGATACCTTACAGACTTTTAAGCGACACTTGGATAGGCACATGGAGGATAGTAAAATGTAGGATATGCAGGGTAGATTGATCTTTGTAGGATAAATAGGTCGGCACAACATCGTGGGCTGAAGGGCCTGTACTGTACTCTACTGTTCTATGTTCTATGACTCCTTTGACACTTTACATCAGTTTCAGAATTTCAAGTTTGCAGGCTCCAGCCACCTTCTCTTTGCCATGGATGTGCAATCCCTTTACATGTACATCCCCCATCGGGATGGTCTCAGGGCTATCTGCTTCTTCCTGAAACAAATGCCGGAACCGTCCCCATCTACCACTGGCCTCCTCTGCCTGGCTGAGCTTGTCCTCATTCTGAACAACTTCTCTTTTAACTCCTCTCACTTTCTTCAGGTCAAAGTGTGGCCATGGGTACCCACATGGACCCTAGTTATGCCTGTTCCTTTGTGGAGTATGTGGAATAATCCTTGTTCCAGTCCTACTCCAGGCCCCACCCACAACTATTTTTCCAGTACATCAATGACATCATCGGTGCTTCTTCCCTCTCTCATCCAGAATTGGAAAAATTCATCAATTTTGCTTCCAATTTTCACCCTGCTCTCACCTTCACCTGGTCCATCTCTGATTCCTCCCTTCCCTTCCTCGATATTTGTTTCTATGTCTGCGATTAGGCTGGCCACTAATATCCATTAAAGACCCACAGACTTCCAGTTACCTTGCCTACAAATCCTCACACCCACTTCCTGTATAGACTATTCCAACCTCTCAGTTCCTCCACCTCCAGAGGGATGCCACCACTAAACCCATATTCCCCTCCCCTCCCTTGTCAGCCTTCCACGGGACCGTTGCCTCTGGGATACCCTGGTTCACTCCTCCTTCACTCTGAGCACCTCTCTACACCCCACAGCACCTTCCGTGGCAATTGCAGCAGGTGCAGCACCTATCTGTTTACTTCTTCCCTCCTCACTATCCAAGGCCCCAGGCATACCTTCCAGATGAAGCAGTGATTTACCTACAAATCATTCAATCTAGGTCTATCATATTTGCTGCACACAATGTGGCAAAAATGACCCTGAGCTTCCAGTTACTTCCCATTTCAACACACCACTGTGGCTAACATTTCTGTCTGGGCTTGCTGCAACATTCCAGTGAAGCCCTAGTTGGAAGAACAACACCTCATTTTCCACTTGGGAAACCTGCAACCTTCTGGACTCAATAGTGAGTTCAGTAATTTTAGGGCCTGAGCACCTTTCCCCATGTCTTTACCTCAACACCCCCCAACCCCCCACACACTCACAAGGCCTTGTCATCACATAGGCTGCTACTACAACCATCCCATTGTCAACTACTAATAGTTCCCATTAGCGGCTATTGATTCACTCAGGCTGACCTTTACCTATTTCATTTTCTATCCAACTGTTATTCTCTGTCTCTGGGCTCCATCTCCACCCATCATTTACCACTTCCAACACCCCCACCCCACCCCATCTTCAGCATATATACCAGTCTTTTCCCAGCTACAATCAGTTCTGAAAAAAGGTCACTGGACCTAAAATGCTAAGTCTGCTTTCTCTCCACTGACGCTGCTGAGTTTTTCCAGCAATTTCTGATTTCGTAGCTGAACAGCTTGGATTGTGAACAAAACAGAGAGCTGCAGGTCTGCAACAGCCAAAAACAAACCTCTATTGCTATCCTCTGCAGTAAGTCATCTTCAACCTGAGAAAATCAGCTTACCTTTCCTTCAGCAGAATGTTACAAGTCGTGACATTAAATTGGACACAGATCTTTCATAAGTCAACCAGCCACCCTGTGCCTCTTGCAACCTAGTGGAAGTATTCAGAAAAAAGGAAGGTGTAGGAAAAACCTTTGGATTAGTAAGAACGAGGCCAACAGATCTCGTGAGCAAGAACTACAGAACGGTTTTCCCAGTTTTCCATCTGCCCATATATATTATTCCCAGTTTATATTTGTCTATTGTCTGCGTAAATGTTGAGTTAAGGGATATTACAGTTTAATTTGTAGCATTAATTAATATAGATTAATTGTTTGCCTATAGCTAGAATCTATTGACCTGTGATAGTGATTTCTTGTTACATACAGAAACCTGGTCTATGCTTTTGATTAATCTGCACCTGAAAATAAGGTAGTTTATATTTCTTCTAAAAACTTTTACATTTGTGATGTCTCCGGAAATAACAGGGCTTGATTTCCAGTGCATTACGTGAATGCAGGGGCTCTCAGCTAGGATTGGATTGGGAATGGAGGAAAGGAGGATTATGGGAGTTGGTATTAATAACTAACACGGGTGAAGGAAAACAGCAGGTTCTGTACTGTGCTTAAGACATGGCATTGGAAATGGCAAAGGATTCCCTGCAGGTGGCAGAGTTGCTCCTAGTACTTTGAAGGGAACTATCAAATCCCAGATTGATCGACTTGACAAGTAAACTGGAGGTAGCATTGCCTGTCAGAGTGAGAAAGGCAACAATAACTGAAGTTCTAGCACAGAACTTGAGCTTATGTGACTTAGGTTTACTTAATGTGGCCTTAATAATTCAGTGATTCTGTGAAATATAGAGGAGGCTGAGTACATTGAAAGGTCAGAATCAGGTGATATCGGATACAATTAAAAAAGCTGGAGCATAAGGAGAGAATGAAAAGCTGGAGCTGGAATTGCAAAAGGAAGAGAAAGATAAGGAAAGGAAGGTGTCAATGCAAGAGACAGGAAATGGAAATGAGAAACATAGAATTCAAAGTACAAGAGAAAGTGAGAGACCATGAATATAAACTTAACGTGAAACAGGAAACACCAGATATGGACAGACCCTGCTGGGGAGAATCTGAGTCATTATTTGAGGTCCAGTAAGAAAATGTTTAATTTTGTACAGGCCCTACTGAAATTTGAAGAAAAGAATGTAGAAGGCATTCTTCATGTCATTGAGAAAATGGCTAGACAAATGAAGTGGGCAAAGGAGGACTCGACATAGATTACATACAGTAGTTCACAGGTAAAGTACTGGAAATTATGCTTCACTATCAGAGGATGTTTTTCAGGATTATAAAACTGTAATGAAAATGATATTGGCTGCATATGAGTGCAGCCTGAGGCATAGAGGCAGAGGTTCCGGGATCTAAAGAAACAGCCTGGGTGAAACTATGCTGAATTTGAGAGGGTTAAACAAGGTAATTTTCACGAGTATTAGAAGCTGAAATCATGCATGAAGTTCTTAGAGAGATTATTCTCTTGGGGGAATTTGGAAACTCACTACCTTCCTGTAATAAGGGCTGAAGACTTGAGAGACTGTCAACAATAATAGCTTGATGATTGTGTGTTTTCCATAAAACTGTTTGGACTGTTCTTTTCCTTTACCACAAACTGTTTCCCAAAGCCGAAAGGTCATCTTCAACTCAAAATTCCCAGTTCTCATCTCCAAATAAGAATTTATAAAAGAATAAAAATAAAAATAATGAAAAATCAGTAAAGGTTCTAACATGCCTCTACCCTCAAAACATGAAACACTGCTTTTAAAATATGTTTCACAAGGTTAGCGACACTTCAATTGCAAACAAGATACAAAACTCTGAACCATTCATTCCTCTCCCCATACTGGATTCTTACTCACTATTCAACTTTTTTGGTCACATTCTTAAATTTACAGCAGTTTACTTTCAGGATAAGATATCAATTACATTTTATTTCCAGAAATATGTACAATTTTCACTTTGAACATCTGAAGACGTAAGCTTATTTCTAAAGCATTCCATGAATCTCAGTGGATTATATGGTCTGTAAAAATGTCAGTTTTAAAGATTCTATTTCACATATAAACAATGTTTCAGAGCTCTTAAGATCACCAATGCTTCTCTTTTGATCATTGAATATTTCTGTTGCTATCCATTCAATTTCTTCAAAAAATAAACCACCGGCTTCTCCCTTCCAGTCTCATCATCCTGTGAGTACTGATCCAATTCCAAAGTGACTAATATCTATTGCTAATTTGAATGATTTGTTAAAGTTAGGTGCAGTTAATACAGGTTCATTCATTAAAATTGCTTTCAGCTTTTCAAAGGCTGCATGGCAATCTGTAGACTATATCATCTTCATTTGTTTATTTAGCAAATTAATCAAAGGCGAGGCTACTGTACTAAAATGAGGTACAAACTTGCAATAAAATCCATCCACATAATCTGAGAACCTCTATCTCTCATTTCCTTTAGCGAAGGGAAAGTCAATTTATAGCTTTTTCTTTTGTTGTTCTGGATGGCGCTGGTCCTTGTCCTACAACATGTC